GCAAGGTTTAATATAGTGTCAGAGGTCACCTTATAGCGCACACGCACGATGTATGGGAAGACAGAAGAAAGAGAGGATTTCCTGCGCAGGAAGTGTGCATGTGGTTACCGGAGGTGTCGCTGCAGACACGTTTCAGCTCTGGTTCCTTCCCACACACCGGGCCTTCTGTGTTTGTGAGGACACTGACATGACGCATCCCTGACCTCAGCCTGATTGTCACCTGAAGCCTCAAACCGCCTCTGAACAGGTGTCAGTGTGTATTAATACTGCATTCTAAATGTTACTTCAGTAAAAATAAAAAGGTGCAAAATATACTTTAACCAGCAAAAGTATAAATACTCATTCTGCAGAAAGGCTCGTTTCGCAGCCCATTAGTCTTCACCTGAGGTAACATGTGACAGTGTCAACCCTCCCCAGTCGAGCTCAGAGATGTGTCCCAGTAAGAGCATGACGTACGCAGTCAGAATCGCCTCTGTCAATCATCTGCGAGCCTCACAGGCCGACTTGTCCTGAGCCTTCGTCACAGCTGCCAGCAGTTTGGACAAACCCCCCCCCACCCCACATCACAGAATGGGACGTTACTGAATGTAACTAATCCTGAACCACAGAGACTTTGGCCTCTGGAGGAAACAGTTTGTGACTCCACAGACACTTTGTGTCCGTTCATCTTTCACATTATCGTTTACTTTTTATTTGTTGTTGAAAAACATAAAACATTTTCATCATCGTTCCCGTTATCGAACACTACTTTATTTAGTTTTAGTTTCATTTTCGTCCTGACAAACAGGTAGTCAGTGAATATCTTTGTCATCATTTTTGTTAAACTAGTGCAGCTTAGGGGCCTGTGGGGCCCCTGGACCAGAGGCTCTGTATGAAGTGACCTCATACTGATACTGCACTGGCCTGTGTGGTGCCCTGATTCTCTGCACACTGTTGTAACAGCAGCGGTAGCTTCCAACAACAGTTCAGTTGTTGCAAGCATGCGTCCGACCATGGACGGATGATGAGACAATGGGCCCCAGGGCACAGACATGACACAGGCCCTCACTCCTCCTACACTGGGGCCCCAGACTGACAGAGACTAAATGATTACAACCAACACAGCAGTGCTCTAGTTTTCAGTCGTCGTGTGTCTGCAGCATTTTTCTGATTCTTTGCGGTTGAGTCTTTGTAGTCATTTTGCATATTTGTCTCTTTGTAATCACCACGCGTCTGTTTGTCGTCATAGTTTTGCGTCTGTGTGTTTTTTTTTTGTTGTTGTCTTTTTCCAGTCACGTTTACAAAGACTTCCAACGGAGGTTCTGGCCCAGGGGCCCCTGACCTGGGTCCAGTCAGGCTGTTTGCTTACAGTAAATGCTGTTCCCCTTCTTCTTTGCTGTGTACAGCTCCTCCGTGCATAGTATGAAACGTGCTCTCTAAAGAAGCGGGCCAGGCTGGGCCGGGCCTACTCCGCCCCGCCTGCTCAGCGATCCGTCCATGCATGAAGGCCACATTACTGAGGTTACACAGCAGAAACACTAACAAGGACCAATCTCAGTGCTGAGCTCACAGTTTCAGTGTCAACACTCACCAGGAAGACGGTGCTCCTGCTGCCCGTGGTCGCGGTGGTGATGGCGATGGTTGTACATATTCGTGGCATGCTGTGATGTATGATGGGAGTTGAGGGCATGTTCTGGGTTGTGGCTCAGATCATGGGTGGGATGTGTGGTGCTGTGCAGCGGACTGATGGACGCCTGGTAGTCGTTCTGCTCACGATGCGGGTCGCCTCGTTGCTGCTGGGGCCCCGCCTCCACATCTGAAACACACACAGCTGATGATGAAGTGACGGTTTCAAAAGAGGGGAAACTGAAAGTAGCTGGACTTTCAGGGGTTTGTTGGGAGTAAGAAAAGTTTTCCTTCAAGCTTCACTGGTACCAGTTCCATACAGTACATTGGCCACCAGTGTGGTCCAGGCGGGAACATCTCAACATCTGCTGGATCAGTTGAAATTTGATTCAGACGCTCATGGTTTCCATGATTTGGGGGATTCTCGGACTTTTCCTCTAGTCCCAGCAGCACATCAAGGTTTTTATGAAATATCTCAGTTACTGTATGGACTGAAACGTTAACAAGATGTTCACAGAACTGGGAAACAGCTGTGCACCATCAGCTGCCAGAGGATGAAAGAATTAAACACCAACTGTGGCGTGTACAAAGGTCTGGGCACCTTACAAACTTTGTACATGCCAGCATCGCACAGTTTCATGTTTTCTAGTTTTTTAAGAGCATGAAGTAAAAAGTAAGGACATGAACATCTGAAGTGTCGTTTGTGTTTGCAGCAGAGGCTGGATTCACTTCAGAGAACGTCTCCGACTGAGCCTGATTTAACCCTGTTGATACCGTCTAGTGTACTTACTGTGGTTTTTATTCACTTTACTGCACTTACGCTTTGACAGCAAGTTGTTTGCCACAGCATATTAATAAAGCTTCAGTGAACTAAAGACCCGACAGGAAGTCAGGCTGACGTGCAGGCAGGGGGTGGGACAGAGGGCCTGATGGGAAACAGGCTGATGCATCTGGGGACTTCTCAGCTGAGTTTCACTGAGTTAATGACCAAACTACAAGTCAGTGATAGAATCAGAGCAGGAGCAGGGAGCTCCTTGTCAGTGACCTGCAGTCAGGGCCGAGCGCACCGACATCAGTGCTGCGTCCGCAGACAGAAAGAGCAGGACATCCTGCACGGTCATCAGCCGGAAGCCAGTGTGAGGGCTTGTTCCCGTGTTTTCCTTGAGGTTTTTAAAATCACAAAGGACACTCGGTTGGCGAGCAATATTGAGACTAAATGTTTATGACACATGGGTTTTGCTCCTTGACCCTCAGCAGCAGAGCCATACTGCATTAGCCGCCGTTTTCCTCTGAAATCAGGCAGCAGCACCCCCTATGCACTGCACATCGCTCTGACTTTAATGTGGCTGTGTATGAAACAACAGTGTGAAAACCGTGTGAACCTACAGAGATGCGTCAGCCAGGGTATCCTGAAAGTTTTGCTAACAGATCGTACATTTAGAAAGTATGTATCTGTCTACTTCTGCACGTTTAGTATCTGAACCACATCTCTTTTAGTTCATAGTGATGTGTCCATAGAAGTCGCTCTACATAGCCGCTGTCCCTGCTCAGCAGCAAACAGCAGACGCACACAGACAGAGACCGGCTGCACATCCTGGTGTGTTTAGACTGGCTCTGCAAGAGGCAGGAGCCTTCTGGATGAAAAGCACTAACACCCCGTGCATGCAAGCGCACATTCGTGGGGGATGACTCTGAAACATTGTGTTTCTGTGCTTTATCTAACCATTGTCACAACAAAGATAAAACACTTTGCAGAGGTGCAAATCATGTGTTATAAACCTGTTACCCATGGATCTGCGACTGAAACTGGTCAAACTGGTCCTGGATCAGATTTCACTGTCTCACCCAAACAGGAAACGGCCCGTCACAGGCACAAACCCTCACGAGTTATATGTATGCAGGGCTGTTTTTGGCCATGTGCTCCTTTGCATCAGCTGGGGTTCATCATTTCATCTGCAGGCAACAACATAACATGCTGACAAAGCCTCAGCTGTATCCCAGCATGCACTGCACATTAGGGAGTTAACACATGGCTCTAGAAAAACAGCGGAAAGAGAAGTACATGAAGTTATGGGTGCTATTTCAATGTTGGGTTGATTTACTGACAGATACGGCTGCAGAACCGGACACTGGGACATTTCCACTTCAACTTTCTTTCTTCTCCTTTTACATTGTCCTGTTTTGGCTTCTCGCAGCCATTCGAAGCCTGGTCTAACTACCCAAGGCTTCAACAGGGTCGGGTACTGAGACACACACAGGAGGTGGACACAATAACAGAAACACTTTTGCAATCTGCGTTTCATTGTGTGGCAGAGGTGATGACTCAACTTTGCTGTATTTGAAAGTGTTCCTGTTATTGTGTCCAGTCTGTTTCTGCAGGGCTGCAGTTGTGAACAAACTGACTTAACGACATGGCCTCCAGCTCACAGGAAGTCGGTTCAATCAGAGGTGTGGTGGGAGCAGACTGTACCATGTTGATGTGTGTGTGTGTGGGGAACAGCCTCTTTATTTGTCTTGCTTTGTTAAATCGAGCCTCTAAAGGCCAAAGGTCTATTTTAGTCTGAATTTTTTCCAAAAACTTTGACTGTTTTGTTTCTTGGTGCCACTCACTGGACAAACAGTTCTAGTTATTTATACTGCACATATCCTGCAGCACTGCAGTACCACACGTCTCCAGTGACCTCCAGTTCAAAACGGTTTAGGAAAGACAGTGGAGAAGTCTGGTGTTTTATGACCAACATTCCAGCCCAAGCTTAAGGAGTAGGATCAGGGCCTGATCACAAACAAAATATCTTCCTTTCAGCCTTTGCACTACGTAAACAGAAACCCTGGAGGACGTCAGAGTCGTGTCTGCCGGACAAACTCGACAAGCCTCTTTTCAAAGTTTTCCACCATCTGACTTTCTCATTCTGAGCTACATGTCGCCGATGTGTAGCATTAAGGTCTGAGGACATGCACCACCATGTGAGGCAGCTGTGATGCACATGCGCAAGCAAGTTTATCTGAGGGTTTACATGAACTTCTTGCTCTACACTAGGGGGCCCATCACCAGTAGGGTTTTAACAAGGCTTAGCTACACAGTGACACACACTGCTCTGCATTCTCTTTAGTTTGATGTGACTCGAATTGAACTTTGGATTCTGGACCACCCCACTCTACGTACTACGCCACCAGTGCTATGTTTACACTGAAGTCACTAGAGGTACCCTCAGGACCTGTACGAGAGAAAGGTGTCAGTATCTGATTCCCTTTGAAGAGGAGCTGGTCAGCCAGTCCACCATGGCTCAGTATCCCTACGATCAGATGGTGAGAGATTTACAGAGCAGCAGCAGGACTTTAAGCCCTGCTGTCTGCCATCCTGGGAGTCAGTGCACAGAATGGAGGAGCACTGGGATGTGCTCGGCATCCTCAGCCTTTCCCAGGACTCCAGCAGCAGCTTTCCTGAGGAAAGTCCACCACAGTAATCCCTCCTGCTGGGAACAAAAGCCAAGGTCGGCTTCTCCAAGTCCTGCCTGCAGACAAGTCGCTTGCCGTGAAATCTTCTGGCTTTGTTTCACACTTAAACGCTTCAACCAGTAATTGCGTGTCAGAAATCTGGCTGATTTTGAAGATTGAGTATCAGTAAGTGCCATATTCATTTAAATCATAAATATTAATATGGTATCGGCATCACAACTCCAGCACTGCTCAGGCCATACTTTGTGTAAATTCAGCCACTGAAGAATCTGTAACATCACAGTTCTGTCAAACTCACGTCTTCATCCAACACCTGCAGAGCCTCTGATGTGCTGCGTGTCCTGTGACGTGAGGTCACGGCTTTGACATCCACAGTATCACGACTACTGCGATGCCTCTGCTGACCCACCTGTGTCGTCGCAGTTGTCTCCTCTGTGTCCTGGACAACAGTTCCAGTGCAGGGTGGTGAAGATCTTCTGCTTCTGGGTGTAGACCGGCCGGGTGGACAGCTTGTACCTGCACGTGCGCATGCACACAGACACACATACACACACACACTGCAGTGAGCTGACATTCAACTCTGCCTGAGGACATGAAAATGAATTTGACAGATCTAAAACAACGATGAGACAGAACTTGGCTGGAAGAAGTCGACAGGGAGCAGGACACGTGCTCAGAGTCTTTACTTAAGTACATGTTTGTTTGTTTGTTCCTCTTCAGTCACAGAGACCATCCTAAACGCAGCAGCACCTTGTGTTGTAAAGACTAAAATCATCACACAACTTGTCAAACTCTTTCAATATCGAGAACCTCTCTGCACCTTTGGCATATGTTCCTGTTCTGAGTCACTATATGAGGCGTATTAATGTTCTGGCAAACAGCGCCGTGCATTGTGAATATAGTGTGTTGCAAATGAACACACAGTGTTGTTGTGTACTCACATGACCAGTTGACAGTCAGGGATCCCGCTCGGACAGGGACTCTGAGACATGATGGTGTACTTCTCTGTTCCACACACCACCGCCACCGTCACCACACGCTTCTGGACAAATGCACACCAGTTCCTGTACAATACACACACACACACACAGAGTGAGCATGTGTGATAACGTGTCCACGGTGTTTCAGGAAGACGAATGACATCACTGCAAAGACCCCGAGGACACAGGGCCTCTAACTGCTGCTGACTTTGTCTGCAGAGTGCTGTCACCTCCGTCCTCTGCTTGCTGACCACCAGCAGTGTTCTTAGAGACATACCTGATCATTTTGGCAAATTATTCAGTATTTGGCCAAGAATTTGATAAGAAGACAGACGTTGTGCCTGCCCAGCCAAGAAACAATCCAGCACGTAACGCTCCGTAAAACCACAACATGTTGCTTTTACACTTTGGTTTGAGCACTGTCACCTCTGGACACAGCTACGCTAGCTCTTTCCCGCGGCCTCCAGAGACTCGCAGCAACCACAAAGAGACAAAACGACGCAAAGGAGTCGGGGGCCTCTAGCATGTCTGAGTCCAGGGCCCGGCCCACGGCTGTCACACGTTAGCAACAAGCTGCAGACATTTACTGATACAGTCAAAAGCTGTTTGACCTTCATTTATAACCAGGACTTAAAATGTGAGTTGCACCACATTTTTACTTGCTTTATAAAAGTGAAACCCACACACACACACACACACACACACACACACACTATTTCAGCACTCTGGTAGTTATAGCTGAAGTTGCGCTGCTTTTTGTGCTGTGTGTTTTCGTTGGCGTGACAATCGCAGTGGGTACGAGCCAGTTGTTTATCTGGACTTGGCTGACGTCCTGTTCGCTCTGGTCTGTTGCACAAAGCCCCTCTGTCTAATCTGCTCTGACCTTGTGCGGTGTTGGGGTGTGTATTTACTGCGACGTTGTTGTCGGACTTGTCTCATTTCTTCCTGTCTGTTGACTTTGGCCGACAGAGACACCGACAGCTCCTCTGCGTTTCTGCAAGTATCTCTACACCAGTGCAGTAAAGTCACTGTGGATCTCTGGAGACCCGATGCACCTATGAGACCTCCAGCAGAGCCCCGATGATCTGGTCCAATCCTTCTCTAACAGATATATCCCTCCAGGTTTAACAGGCATAACTACCTATAAAACTACTTTCCCTGTGTACTGGGCTGTTTGGTTCCTTTCTTGATTGAGTTAAATAGTAGTTCTGACAACTTGCTATGTTTTTGATACATACGGCAAAACTATTCACATGTACCGTGTGCGTGTTCACACCTGGCTTGGCTTAATCGTCTGAGCTGCAGAGCTTCAGCTTTGTCTAAGAACTAGTAAACACACATCAGTGTTGCACTGGGTGACAGGTGCCTTCATTATGAAAAATATGGGCACAGCAGCTCCACAGACTTCAGGCAGAGGCCACTGAGCACGCTCAGATACACCCAGACAACAGCAAAATCACCAGCATTGCCCTTTAAAATATCCCCAGTGTTTGTGTGCAAATATCACATCTGATATCATCTAACATAATAATTACACAGCCATTGTTTCTACAAGTGAACAATCTGCTAAGACTCAGAAAAGCCCCAGGCCTTTGCCTCTGGTGTCATTTCCTGTGGCGAGCTGAGGGTCACCAACAAAGGCTCAACACAGAGAAAATCCGCCCTAATCCGGAGCGACCGTTAACACAGTTAATCCTTGAAATAAACATACAGGACCGTCTCTCCCTGGTTCCTCGCTCAGAGGTTTGGGTTTGGATCCTCGTCCTCCGGGAGAGCTGGCGACTCCTTTGTCTTTGTCTCCATGTCTGTTCACATCGTCCTTCTCTCTCTTTGTTCCTCTCTCCTATATGTGTGGATGATGTGCTTGAGTTTTCCATCTTGTGTGGTTGTGCAGTCCTGGTACCAGGTCTTGTCTGACAGGAGGCTGAGCAGCTCAGGTCTGTTCCAGGCTCCAGGAAGTTTGTTCATCCTACATGTCCCTCTGTCCTGGAAGACAGATCCTTCCTCTGTTACCCCTCCCTATGTTTCTTCCATTTTTTGTCCATCAGAGTGTTTTGGTTTATTCCTGATCTGATTCAAGGTCTAAGGGCAGAAGGTGTGTACACATGATGTACACAGTGTAAAGCCCCTTGAGGAAAATTTGTGATACTGGGCTGTAGGAATCAAATCTGACCTGAAATTGAGATGGAGTCACTAAACTATGAGCTGAAGCAGACTATAAAGCTCAGTAATTTTTTCACAAAAAGACGCGAGTTGGACACAAAGACCCAGAAAACAAATGAGCACAAAGGAGGAGCCAATACAAACACATCAGTCCCAGCTGCTTTAGTTAGAGCACTCCTATTTACTAAATGCAGTCTCACACAGGATGCAAACTCTTGTGTTTTTATATGCCCACCACCCACCCGACCTGCGACCTCCGCCTCACAGGCAGTACACTGAGGCTTACACAGCGTACAGCTTAGAGCACGTTCACATACAGGCAAGTGTGAAACCTTCAGCAGTGGCTGGGGTGGGGTGGGGGGGTTGGTGGATCTGAGGGCGCTGGAACAAGATCAGAGAAGAAACCTTTAATCTTCATCATCAGGCTGATTTGTCCTGTCAGACTGAACTCTGGGCAGCAAAAGCCTTTCTCCCTGGGTTCAACTTTTCTCCTTCATGTGATGCAGCTTAATCTCAGAGGTTTGCTCCTCTGTCCTTGTTTATCCTGACATGTCTTCAGTTTCTTTTCTCTAACAGCACATTTCTCAGCTGCAGGCTGTCTGTCAGCTATCTGTGCTCTGCAGCAGATTCGGCCTATCAAGAAATTGGTGAAGCAAGAGCTGGAGGAACCTCGTGTGAGGCCATCCTCCTCTGGCCGATATCATCACTGCACATTTGATGATAAGACGTGAGGAGCTCTGTTCCAAAATGAAACGACTGACACAAAAACTTCAATGATGAATGTTTTTGTTGGGTCCAGAGATGTTTAGAGAGGCTTCCAGGAATAACTTCTGTGATTAGCTGTTGTGATTCTCTAAGGTTAGAACCCCAGGGAACCTGCTGGAACTTGTGTGGTCTACCAACAAGTGGCATACACGGGTCTCAGACCTGTAAAAGCACCATCTCTGTGGACATTTTGTGACTCTGTGAATGTTTTGTGTCTCTTTCTGGCCATTTTGCACTTTGTATTCATTTAACTGAGGCAGCACAAAGCAAGCTGTTTATATTTCTGTGTAAAATGTGTCAGACGTTATCGTGACAGTGGACGCCTCTGGACCACATCTGTTTCTGGAGAAAAGTCCCTTTGCTGCCTCTGACTTTCTTTCTTTCAGCAAGAGCAAAATAAATATTTGGAGTGTGTGCCCAGGACCCACCACGTCGGACTTGTTGCTGCACTTGTGCCCGGTTATACCAAACACAACTGCTGGCTTGCGTTTGACATGTCAGACTGAAGAGGTACAACCTTGTAGAGCAAACATGCCAGGGATTTTTGTTCCCTCCTTTCCAACACAAACATCCAGTCACTTGGTTTAGTTTTGCACTGTCAGTTATTTTGTAAGAGGAGGCATCACTTTGTTCAAACAACACTTCTCGTTTTGGACCAAACATCCTCAAATCTTCACTGAAGGCAGCTCTTTTTGCACCGCAGGTCATCTCAAACCGTCCACAGCTGTGGCCTGTAAAACTGTCACTTTCTAGCTGCTTTGTCTGGTGTGGATTTGTTTGGCTGAGCACTGAAGAAAGAGACCTTTGAGCTGAGGTCTGTGGGGGTTTCTGCTGCAGCCTGGGTCCAAGAGCTCAGGTTCAGATGTTTATGCACGAGCCACAGGGTGAATAATGAGACTGCAGGAGGTCTGAACACACTGGAGGGATCTGTCACAACAGAGAGATCAGTGGGTTTCATTCAGATACCAGGGTCTGTTTATGCTTGCAGGCCTTAAAATATGAAGCTTGTCCTGAGGGAGAAGGGTCACAATCTCATTTCATGTTCAGTGTGTACTTATGCTTATCTCAGCATCAGCTCCGTGAGTGTGGCTGTGTTTAGTTCTGTTCATTCTATTTTGGCGTCAGCCAGAGGAGCCGCCTCTTATTCTCCTCTGTGGATGTATTTATTAATCCTCCGGGTTCTCAGACACGCAGTTAAAATCCAGGAGGTAGATTAAGCACTCACTCATCTCTTCTTCTCTCGGCTGCTCCTTTGTCTGCAGCTCATCCAGCAGAAACTTCCATCTCTCAAAAATACCCCCACATTCTCCAGAAAGAAGCTTTTATCCGACTGCCAGTTGTGCACATTCACCTGCATGATCATCATGATAACAACAGTCTTTAAATCTGTGTCCTTTGGGTGTGGAGTGTTGTCCTTTCATCCCCCAGCCATGTCTCTCTACCGTCTGATAATGGCTGAACAGGCAGTAAATGCTGCCTTCATGGTCCATGTTCGCTGTGGGTCCAGCTCTCTTTGATCCGACCTCTGAGCTGCTGCTTCTTTCATCTGCTTTGAACACCTGGAGCTGCAGGGTGAAGTTTTACTTTGATAGGATTTCAGTGGGGCCTTTAATAACAAGATCAGCAGCAGCTGCCAAGGAGGTTGGAGGTCACAGCACCACAACAAAAGAACAAGTATTCCTGTCAGCCCCAAAGGCCACCATGACAGCCAGAAGAGCAGAGACACAGGAAGACCCTTACTTATGTTTCAAAGTAAGAGCACATACTGTAGACATTTCTCCAGCACTTTTTCTAGATTTAAGCCATAATATCTGAGGTCAAACTGAACATGAGGCACCTGAACCATGTGTAATGAAGTCAGAATCATTCAAGTTGTTAAGAGTCATCCTGAAGAGACCACGAATGTGTGTGAACCAAACTTTGTCACAATCCATCCTGCAGCAGGTTTCAAGCAGATTTTGCAGAAGTGAAGTGAAACCAAAGGTTTTCTCAAAGGAAAACAGTCGATCTACTCACTAATGATATGGACACAATGATCAGCAGGTAAACAGGAAACGTGTAAAACAAGACTGCTCCCTCAGGTCCTCCAAAGCCTCAAATCCTCTCAGACTGAGGACAGACAACAAACTCGTGCATCTCCACTTCATCACCGCTTAACTTCCTGTTGACCTCTGAAGCAGGTCCTGCTCAACCAAAGCCTCAGCCTGCAAAGAAACAAACAGAGAAACCCCGGCAAACCTGCTCCCCATTACACCAACAAAGGGCAGAGTCACAACACAAAGAGTTCCATTTGAGAAGGACGTCGCTAAAGGAGCTTTAAGGTGGGGGGTCAGGAGAAAAGTCGGGGCTATAGGACTAATGAAGGGTTGTTTGTTTTGTTTTTGTTTTTAAAGCCCCCAGGGATCATTTTATCAGCAAATCTGGGGACACGTCTCGCAGCTTAATGTATGGATGTGCGAGCTCCAAAAAAGTCTCCCGAGACATTTGATCTTCATATTTAGCCAGTGTCACTGGTTACCAACCTGTTCCTAAAACAAACAAGACGCAGCCGACCAGTTCACTGTGGGAGAACAGCTACTTCAGTACCCACAGCGGCAAAAATAACAGAGCCAGCTACAGAGGAGCTGCCTTTAACGTCCACTCCAAGGGGGCTAATATAATGAGGCCTGAAGGAAAGTTCTTCCATAACACGGCATTCGTACCCATCATAGAATCAAACAAGAACAGCAGAAAATTTAAATACCTCGTCCGATAGTTGTGATCAATCAATGAAAATAGTTTTATAAATACACAGGCACTACTTTTATTTACAATGCTATACATAATCAGTGTCTAGCTGTTTTTAATCCAGTGTGATGTTTGAAACTAGTTGAGTGGCTGCAGTGTCTAAGGAGCCTTGTTGCTTCAGCGTGCACCCAGTGCGTGGGCCCGCAGAGGCCGCGCTGACTAGGAACCTTCACAAACACCTGCACGGCCCTTCTGGGACAATATCATCATAACTTCCCTAGACAGATTAGTGTGACTTAAGGCGCTGCTGGTCCCTTTTTGGCTTGGTACACACACACACACACACACACACGAGTCATACCTATACAGAGAAGGACCAAAGAGGGAGAGTCTCAGCGTTTTGACTGCCAACACGCCAGTGACACACAGTCCCACCCAGGCTGCCCAGACGCACCACGATCACTTTATGATCTTATCCGACAGACTGCAGGCATCCTCTTTGTGCTTGTCCTCCGGTCAGCGGAGGAAGAACCATTTAGATCCAGTACAACAACTTAAAACTACTCCGTCATTACAGCCACATGCACGTCAAAGTAAAAGTGCTGACTGTGCAGTACAATGCTTCCTGTGACTGATACCTGGTTCTGACATCATCCTACTTTTGATCCTGAGTCATCACCACTGCAGCAGCTGGTTTTAACTAGCTTATGTATAGTTGGCTAGTGTAGGCCAGTGGTTCCCAAGCCGGGGGGTCAGGCCCCCCCATGGGGTCACCAGATAAACCTGAAGGGTGGTCACATTATTCATGGCAAAGAATAACACTGATGGCGTCACATCACATAATGTGTCGCTGTGTTGTTTCTAGTGTAGAACAAGGACACAGATGATTTACACATCACTAGTTTCAGTTTTCATTTTACAAACTGCCCCAACATCTGATTTGGGGGTTGTACCTCAAAACGGTTCATTGTACTTTCACCGCCAGGTCCCAGATGTCAGAGTTTAACTTGGTGAAAAGAGTATTATTAGTGACAACACTCGAACTCCATAGCGTGTTTAATGTTGTATATGGAACCAAAAACCTGAGTAATCTGATCAATGATTTAGTTTCTTCGTTACATCAGCTGATTACTTTTTGATTACTGATTGATTGTTACGGTGCATGAAACATCTGACAATAGTGGAAAATGTTCATCACACTTTCCTAAAGCCCAGAAACTGCCAACAGGGTGAAACAATAAATGTTTAACTCACTATGAGACACATTGACATTAGAGAAGCTGGAGGAATTAAGAGGTTTTTTCCAGGTGAATTGACGTTAACAATGACTCGGTCGTCAGAACAGCTGCAGATCACTCCACTGACTGTCACGGTAGAACTGTGACAGAACCAGCCAAGCAACAAAAAAAAGGCAGCAAGTGAAACTTGAATTCTGGATGTTCTCACCCGTTTCGGGCCGGGAAGGTCCCTTTCTGGCCTGGTGGGGGGTTTTTGGTCGCCACCGGTTGGAGCCTCTCAAGGTGAGGGGGGAATGCTGCTATCCCGAAGCTCCCCATTTCTTCTTCTGCTCTTCCTCCCAGCTCTTCCTCCTCCTCCACCTCGGGGTCTCGTGCTCTCACCTCACAGTGAGCACTGACCAGTAAGCCCAGCACCAGCACCAGTTCTCCCACTGCAGTCATGTTTGCTCCCGGCTACCCCCCTGACTGGAGGCTCACATGACCCGCAGGGGCCCTT